TGGTGCGGGGCCAAGGGGGCCTTGTCACGGCGGGCAGGAGGGCTCTCCCTGCGAACCAGCCTTGCTGCCCCAGCGCCCTTCCGCGCCGCACCTCTCCTTGGGTTTCTGGAGGGACGGCCGCATCCCTGGGGAGCACCCTGAGGTCCGGGGAGGTCCGGGCCGCTGCCTCCTCCGGGGCAGGGGGCCCAAATCCACCCACGCTGCCTTTACAGGACTAATTGAACGGATTTAATTCGGCTGCTTCGGAGCCTTTAACTTCTCTACGGAATTATTTAAGGGCAGACCCGCCGGGCCTCCCAGCGCGACTGCCGGCAGGCTTTGAAGAGGCACCGGGAATATAAATAGCTGGATGGCGCGACGCGATGGGCGCAAAGCAAGTGTTGTCACCGTGTCCCGAATAAGGGAAGAGCTGGAGGAGGAGGAGGAGGAGGAGAGAAACCACTGGGCAAAATCAATTGCCTGCGGATGAGCCCGGGGGAGAACCGGCTCCTCGCAGAGGCTCAGCAGCCTCCTTAGATATCGGGGGAAATGTTTATTTAGGAAGATGGCACAGCGTTTGCTGGGTGTTGGATCATCCAAACCTCTAACCCTTCGGCCCCACCGTCCCCAGCCTGGTGGGACCCCGCTGCGCAGGTCCCGGGTGCGGGGAGAGGGAATTTTGTTTTGCAGGGGGGTGTTTTTTGGCTTTTTTTTGGGTCTTTTTATCGGCAAGGTCACCGGATAACTTTGTTCTCCTTCGTTTTCAGGCTGCTAGCAAGTACAACTCCCAGTACCACAAGCTGTTCAAGGACATCCCGACGGAGGAGAGCGTGCTGAAAGGTGGGTGGCATGGCACGGGACGGGTAGTGGGGCGGCAGAATCCGGTGCACGGTCTGCCATGCCCTTCTCTCCGCCTTGCAGTTTGCTCCTGTGCGCTGCAGAGAGACATCCTCATCCAGGGAAGGCTTTACATCTCCCCCAACTGGCTCTGCTTCTACGCAAACCTTTTCGGGAAGGACATCAAGGTAAGGTGGGGGCCAGCCCACCCTGGTCCCGTAGGGCTCGTAGCCCAGGCTACGTCGCAGCCCGCTCATCCCATCCCCTCCCGCTCCCAAACACCACCAAAATCCCCGTCAGAAGCCTCCGATGCGAAGGGGAGCGTGGCTGTGCCTCCCGCTCCGATCGCCTGCGGGATCTGCGTGGGGAAACCAAATATTGATTTGCTTCAGAATTCCCTGATGCAAAATCTCCGACAAGCCGCGACGGCGTTTGAAGGAAGATCAAAGGTTTCCTGGGGGGGAGAATTTGAATCTCGCTTGGCTTTTCTTCTTGATTTACAATCTGATGTTTCCCCGTTAGTCTTGTGGCTGACGGGGATCTTGGGGGGAGACGACTTCCCTCCAAAGTGGGCTGAAGAACTGAATTATTTATGTCATCCACTTTCAACAAATATCCGATGGAAGTACGGGATTTCAGCGAAGTTATCCTGCCATAAATTACATCCTGACGTATTTTTAACCCTCCCCTGGCTTGCACAAGGGCTCCTGTGATGGGTCTTAAGGATACTTTTTCCGTGTCCTCGCTGTTTTGGTGGAGTAGAAACCGCCTCCGAGCCAGGATTAAGGCAGGAGGTGCCGTGACCTTGAATAAAACCAGGCCGCCCCGGTGAAACGCCGAACCCCGGCGTCGCTGCTCTGCTTGGGGCGTAATTCCCATGCGCGGTAGATCTCCGCCTCTCGAAAGAAACCCCCTCAGCTCACCCTCCTGCCCGTCCCTGGGTCTTTTTTGCCCTCCAGGTTGTGATCCCGGTGGTCTCCGTTCAGCTGATCAAAAAGCACAAGACGGCTCGGCTGCTGCCCAACGGCTTGGCCATCACCACCAACGCCAGCAGAAAGGTAACGCCGGCGCTTCGAGCGGCGGGACCGGCCTCGCC